GGACTGAATCAGTCGTGCCTCATCCTCTCCCCTTTGGACACTCCCCCCTCCCCCTTCCTGTGGATTGAATCAGTCGTGCCTCATCATAGCCGCCGACCGTTGCCTACTCGTGCTAACGCCCACCTCTTCCCCCCCAAAACAGGACATCGCCAGATACGGCGAAGCGCCCGTTCGAGAAATCCTGTCCGGCCCCGATCGCGAACGCTACATCAACAGCGAGGACCCGAACAGCGCGCAGGGCCCACCAAAGACATCCTCCTCCAACCGCTCCGGCCATTCCACCACCAAGGGCACCTCGCATCACCACCGGCACAACCGAAGCATCGACGATGGCCGCGCCTTGAGGCCCATGGCCAGCAGGGAAGATTCGCAGGCCAGCTTGCACGTGCAAAACGTGCGGGAACGAGGCGGATCCGCCGCCACCGTCTTCTACGGCGCCAGCGCGTCGTCACGCGCCCACAGCCCGACCCCGAGCGGCATGAGCAACACGGGCTACTTCAACCCTAGGGCGGGATCGACCCCCGACGGCCAGACGTCGCCGAACAACAGCAACAGCAACAACCACAGCAGCACGAAAAAGGGCATACTCGGTCGCTTCCGGCGGCACAAGGACAAGGACAAGGAGGACGCCACGGCGCGCCTGCGCTCGACGCCGACGAACGACTCGTCGCGCTCTCTCGCCTCCAAGGCCTCGCGTGCCGACGTCGCGCGGGGCGGCGGCGAGCAGCAGGCTGCGGCTACCTTTCCACCCAACTGGCCACCCGCGACCGACCAGTTCGGCGCATCCCAAGATGGCCGGCCGCCGCAGCCGCGCGCGGCGACCTTCAACAACAAGTTCCCCTTTGCCAAAAAGGGTCGTGTCATGCGCGGCGTCGAGGAAGACATGATCGGGCCCACCGATCGCCGAGAGGGCGGCCGCGCTGGCACCGTCTTCCATCTCGACACGAACCTGAACGACATGGAAGGCATTCTGACGAAACCTCCCCCCCTGACCCCCATGGACCACACCTTTATCACCAACATAGTCGATCCCGAACGCGTCGAGAACCCGGCCACCGGCACCGCCTCGGCGCACGACCTCGTCAAACCGCCCACGTCCGACGCCGCCGCGACCGCGACCGCAACCGCAACCGCGACCGCCCCCGTCACGATAGCAGCCGCCAACGCCACGGCGGCGAACCCCTCGACCGCGCCCAACGCCAACGGCTCGTGGAACGCGCCCGACAGCTGGGCTGTCCGTCGCAACACGGAGG